TTGTCATACAAATGCATACCATAAATGCTTTTTCCTCACTATTGCTGTAACATGGCTGCTTAAAACAAAATAAAAAATAATTGATGGCGCTCCTCATCTAACTCCTGCACACTAAAACCACCAAAATCGTCTTCTTTGGTGTCAGAGTTGAACAGCCTCTCACAACTTTTGTTTTGAGGTAAAATTTGCTCTTGGACTTCTGCTGTCTTCTCCATCTCAGAGCTGTCCAGCCTTTTGAAACCTGTTGGTAAAAAGCAGGATCGCAGCAAATAATCAAAGCATGTGAAAAAGTATTTGTTTATAGTTCAGAAATAACAGCATTAAGAAACTGCAGTTCGGATGGTGCCCAAACTTAACTAACATAGCAATTGTTAAAGATGAGGACGCATCTTCCTACAGGTTCGTGCTGAGACAGATCAAAGACGAGTCAGCAGTTTCACCTTTGAAAGTCAACCAAACTTTGATAAAATGCTAAAGATGTCTTTCAGAAATCAGACAGAAAAAATGCATACAAAGATTCACTCAGACCTGGTATATATTCTGATGACCTGCAGTTACATAGATTGAAGCCACATCTTGTGCTGCAAAACAAACCGCTTCTGGAATATTACCACACTGTCTGCCTGCATAACTAACGATGGTGGGTAACTTTTAACAGTTTTGGTTTTATGAATCATACTTCCTAAAAAGGAGTTATTTCTGAGATTCTGCAACTTCAGGTGCAAAACCTGGAACCACATTATCTCTGATTTGTTCGAGCTGATCAGCGAAGGGATGTGCAAACATAATATTCCAGAACTGCAGAGCTGTGATATTATATCATTATGGAAAATCATTTTCAGTTAATTAATATAAGATTCAATAATTGCAACACATTATAATAAGAGACAAAATATAATCCCACACAAGCTCACGACCCTGGAGGCTGGCAGCCAAACAGCATTGTGGATGAAACAAGCTATTTTTGTTTTAAAGTTTAGGAAGTTGCTTTTTAGAGAAGTTATTTTTAATTCATAAAAAGTTTTGAGAACTATACACCAGAATAGTACTACAACAAATACTACAAATAAAAATGCATGCAAGCTTTTGCACACACCAGAGTATTTTAGGCAAGTTTGCATTTCAGATGTCTTTTCTTTGCTTCTTAATATCACTGACTGTATAATTTTCTAACACAAGACACGGCAGTATCACCACTCAACTGTCAACCCTTTTGTTTGCTGAGCCTGCATGAACTTGCTGTGTCTATGTGAATGTGTGTCTGTTCTTAGTGATCAGTGTGCCTCTTTGTTCTTTTTTAAACACACTTTGAAGTTCTTGCAATAGAGGGTTAGCTAAATGGCTAAGGCTGAAAATCTGACCCCTGAACGTTTTTTGATTTAATATAATAGGAGCGTTTCTTGACACGTGCACTTTGAATGCAGACGCTCGACGTTTTGCTCCACACCTACCTAGCATTCCGCGCATCAGTATATGTGGAGGCCGTCTGATGGGTCAAAATTGCTCTGTTGTTTTCTGTTGCCAGCCTCAGACGCACTTGACTGCTTGACGCTTCAAACCCTCCAAATGCTTCAAATTGCATTTGGAGGGTGTATATCTGTTGCATGATATACAACAGATATACAACAGATCCCAGGAACAACATCAGTAGAGCTAGAGGCTCAGAGGATAAGAACCACCCGCGGTGGGTGAGAAGGGAATTTTTATATATATATATAAATAATCATACATACTGTTACATCTGAAAAGGGCACAACAAATTTGAGGACACAGGCAACAATGAGTCCAAAAAATATTTTATTTTTAAACAATTGAACTTTTCTTTTAGTTCAGCTGCTTTGATTTTCTGTGGAGAAAAAAAGAGAGAGAAAAAACAAAACCCAAAAAATATTAACAGAAAGTTGGACCTGGTGAGCCGATTAAAAAGAACAAAACGGTGCAGCAGGGGGCCAACCCAATGCAGTGCCGTCGAAGCCCCTACTAGTACCGGACTAAAACAAAAAGAAAAAAGAATCTACTGCAAAGAAAGACTCCAAACAGGACAACTGGTCCCACCAGACCAAAATCACAACAAAAACAGCAAACAAACAAAGGCTAACAGAAATAATGCATGGCAGGTTGGAGACGTGCGTACCCTGCGTCAGGTGTGCGCACATCAAGACACATCCATCATCCTGGGTGGTGGAGGAGCGAACAGAAAGGCGGATCTCCACACATGTGGAAACCCAGCCTACTTATAGGCGGGCCAACAGCACCACAAATGAACAAAATCAAGTTCGTTACAAAAAAGGAATTATCTGAACTCCAAAATATATTAAACAAAAAGTCATTCAACTAAAGTCAATACACAAAACTATCTAGAACAGAGGTGGGCAAACCTTTTGACTTGCGGGCCAGAATGGGTTCTAAAATTTGACAGAGGGGCCAGGAGCATTTGGATATGCAATGTAATTTATTAAACCTGGATATTGAAATGTATGAAAAACACACAATTGAAGGTGCAAATTTAAAGAAATCAACATTTAGTGGAAAAAGATCAATGGAATCACTTTCAACATTCAGAACATATTATAATGATGCTAACACTGCAGCTGTAGTCCTGTCAAACAGGATTTATTAGAAATAAGAATAGGAGCTGCTATTATTATGGCTGCAGCTCCTAACAAACTGGTTCACTGCCTGACAGCTTAACTGACAACCGAACTCTTGCTGCTCCTCCCCCACATGACAGACCAACCAATCACGTGTGAGTGGGAGTCAGCAGTCAGACAGCGGAAGTACATAACGCTACATGTAACAATAAGCAACACAATGTCACTTTTAACACATAACCATGTGAACCCCAGCAGAACTAAAACACAGAATCGTTACAATATTATCAGTCAACGAAAGAAAGGGGTATTTTGAAAGTTGCTATTTTTTCATCAGACAGTAAAGAAACTCATATCTCAGTGGGAACAGTGTTGTTGTTCTCCCTTTTTTGCCAGTGCATCAAAGTCTGGAGTTAGTTTCGTTGTGGCGATTCTCAGAATCGATCTGAGGTGTTGGTCAGTTAACCGGATCTGTGACGGGATTTGTTGATGTTCATGACGCTGAAAGTTGCTCACACACGTAGGTGGAGCCAAACAATACCAGCATCTTCTGTGCCGTCCTCCGGAGGTTTGGAAACGTGGCTTCGTTAAGAGAAGCATAAAAGTCATTCAGTTTAAGAGATCTGAACTTCTCTTTTGAGACGGAGTCAGACTGGAGATCGATCAGCTCCAATTGCAGCTAATCAAGCTCATAAATCTTCATCATCAGTTCCACACGCCGAGTCACTGTCCTGCGTGACAAGCTGACTTTTTCAAACTTGCCTTTGCTTTCTGGACACAAGAGATCTGCTGTCTCTACCATACATTCTTTCAAAAACTCACCTTAAGGAGAAAGGCTCGCTAGCTTTTGCTAACTTGAATGCCAGCAGAAAACTTGTCTTGGTACTTGACTCTTGAATCGCAGATTGTTGCAGTCTGTAAATTAGCTGCCAACCTCTAGCCGCCCGTTCTTGTGTTGACAGCTTGCTAGCATAGTTAGCATGCTTCGTGGCAAAGTGACGGCTGATATTGTACTCTTTGAAAACTGCAACCTTTCTTGGCATATCAGACATACAGCCGTTGATCGGACATCAGTAAAAAAAATATTTTGTTGTCCACTCCTTTTTAAACACTCGGCACTCAGCGTCCACTTTTCTTTTCTTTGGTCCGCTCATTTTTACCGAAGGGGGGAAACGGCAGCTGGAAAGTTACTCTCCAACAAAGATCAATGACTAGTGCGCCATCTATCGGGGAACGATGGTATTGCAAGGGAAAGGAAAATGAATGAGATTTTTACACATCCCTGGGTTTTTACTATAATTTGGACAAGTTTGGCGGGCCGGATTAAAAAGACTAACGGGCCGTATATGGCCCGGGGCCGTAGTTTGCCCATGTCTGATCTAGAAGAATAAATAAAATTATAATGTGCCCAAAGCACATAACAGTACTGTCAAATTAATTTTATGCCATGTCACATATCCCTATTACCCAATCACTTTCGTGTCTTCTCTTCCATTAGGTTGTTCAATTAAAGCTGTGAAAGTTATATAAGCCATCTTTTTAAACAATTTTGCACAAACCCTTGATAGTAATTTGAGATATTTCTTCTACATGTAGGGAAGGATTGAATTCCAAGTTCTTTGTGTCAAGATTCAAAAACCATGTTGGCACTTATGCAAGACCAATCATTTAATTGTTGTTGTCGATTGATTTCTTCTACAATTTCAACTTTAATTGTTTTTAGTGCTCATATAAATAATAATAAGTGTGAATATGTATTTCTTTGCCTGTTAATGGCAGAAATTAACTATCTTCTTTGGAAGCAAGAAAAGCTGGATATCATTTTGCTGTCTTTTATTAAACCGTTTGGTGCCACAGCATACAAGAATGTTGAACTAAAAGGAAGAAGCAAAGTTGTAGCACATTTTTATCATTACTTATTTAAACAGATTCCTGTGTGAGCAAGACACAGCTCACATCCCTGTATAAGAGAAGAAAAAATATCTTTTAATTAATAGATTTCAATCAATGTGTTATTTGTGGTGACACTTTTGAATCTGTGCCAGATTAGATGTCCTTTATTAATTTTTCTTTTTATAGATAACATTCTCCCAGATTATTTTTTTCTGGATTATTTCCACTTAAAGGGGTCATTGTTTGTTGTGTTTCCACTTAGTTTCATTTTCATAGTGCCTTTTGTAGTTGCTAACATTGTGGGTAGCAGTAGTTTTAGTTGTAGTTTTGAAAACTTGTGTAAAGCAACTGGAGTTGCTTTCAGAATGAAACTCAATTTCAAATAGCATTTGAAAGATGTCGATTTCCACTCCTTTTTCATGTCTTTGTGTGTCACTGAGAAATGTAATAGTTCAATCTGGTAACTTGACTGATGCTTGGTTTTTCATTTTTATGTGTTCTTTGCACCTCTAACAGGACCTGACAAAGTCAAGGTAAGAAATTGAGCACACAGAGAGACTCACATAAAGCTAGGTTTTAATCAGAATTTTTGTTTTATATTTAAGTATATATCAGATGTATGATAAAGAGTAGAAAAAAAATAAGCAAAAAATTAAGCATTGAAGATAACAAATATCAATCAGATAACTTTTACAAAATGAACATTTTAACATGGAACCGGCTGCAGTTGGTTTTCATGGGTTTGTTTTGTACAAACTTCATAAAGTGGTCCACTATTCAGCACTGTTCTTACAATTCAGCTGCTCTAATTTATGGAAGTTAGGAAATGTGATATTTAAAGCTGTTTTTCTGTTGGAATATAAAGTATGGTCTCTTACATTCTGGTCTTCTGATATAGTACTTGGTATCAACCATTTCTTTTTCACAGAAAAATCATTTGAATTCATTTTTATTTATTTACATAGTTACATCATACCTCTAAAGTATACCTTATTGTGCTAATTTTCATAAGCATATTGCCTGTGAACTTGTAATATATTGACAGTTTGTACATTCTGATAGTATACTGGCATTGTACTCTTGAAAAATGTGAATATATTGAATACACAAAGTAATTTTTTTCAATCAGAAACTGCTGTAATTGATCCTTCTGGTAGCCTGATATGTTTCCAGTACTACAGTGTGTATGAAGCATTAATGTACAACGTGGCAAAGCAGAATAATAAAAGATATTGATAAGTAGCCAAAATATGTATTTCATTACCAAAAAAAGTAAACTAGATGTTTACCTGGAGCATACTGTGATCACTCTGCTAATATATAAAGATATATATTTAGAAAACATTGTAAATATATTTTAAATGTAATTTATTCACAAAAATGGCACACTTCATATACACTAATCAAGTATGTTTGTTATATAAAAAGCCATATTCTTTAAGTATATGCAAAGTATAACTTTAGTTGTTCCAAAAAAGCATGCGATAGTACACTTCAAATTGTGATTTTCTACAATTTAATTACAGTTAAAATACATTAAGCATAAAATCAGTTGTTCCAAAATAACACGCTTCAAGTTAAATAGTCCTTAACAAACCTGAAGTATACTGATAATCTGTCTGGCTTTAAGTATGCTAGGATTTTATATACTCACTCTATTTAAGGATTTCTTTGCGCTGATTTTTGTTTATTTTTTAGATAAAACCATTTTAGTTCAACAGAATTCCTGTAATTTAATAGAAATGCTGTCGAATTACACAAATCCTATGTTAAAGAACACTTAAGAGTTAGTAACAGAAGGAGTATCTCAGCCAATGCCTCCCCCAGGAACAGAATGCTGAGCAGATGCAGCAACAATGAAAAGGAAATATGCAGAAAGAAAATATGAAGCTAAAAGGTGAAATAACTTCTAAGTTTATGGCAAAAATGTAACTGAAAGTGTCTTTTTCCTTGGTAGCACTTTTGCCTTTCAGCAAGAAGGTCCTGGGTTCGATTCCCGGCCCGGGGTCTTTCTGCACGGAGTTTGCATGTTCTCCCTGTGGGTGTGTGGGTTTTCTCCAGGTTCTCTCCAGGTTCTCTCCGGTTCTCCGGCTTCCTCCCACAGTCCAAAAACATGACTGTCAGGTTAATTGGTCTTTCCAAAATTCTCCGTAGGTGTGAGTGTGTGTGTGTGTGCATGGTTGTTTGTCCTTTTTGTTTCTATGTGCCCCTCCTGTCGCCTGGAACACAGCTGGAGATAGGCACCAGCAACTCCCGACCCCAATAGGGATAAGGGTGACCAGATAATGGATGGATGGTCTCAGAATAACCTTACCCACTCTAGCTTAATCAAAAAAAGAAACTTGACTTCAGTACCTCAAAAAAGGTTAAGAACCACTGCTTTAGAGGTAAAACCCGGCCAACTCTGTAAAACCTGTATCCTTGGCAGCCTTACTACATTCACCATTACAGTCCCCAACTAAACTTTACACTACTGATATAATAGTTGATGCATCCTTAAGGCTGTGGATGCAATTTAGACAGCATTTTGTCTTGCAATCTCTTTCTGTCTATGCTTCTATAGCTTCAAATCATCCCTTACCGTCATCTCTCACGGATGGCATCTTCCCGCCATGGCAGAGAATAGAAATTTCAACTTTTCATGATATGTATATTGATAATACTTTTGCCTCATTCCAACAAATCTCTGAGAAGTTTGATATCCCGCAGCATCAATTTTTTTTAGATACTTGCAAGTGTGCAGCTTTGTCCACTCTACATATTCAAATTTTCCCAACCTTTCCAGGGATTCACCTTTAGATATTTTTCTAAAACCTACTGTCAAATTGAAAGGGGCCATATCTTTTATTTACAATCAAATCACACTTTGACCTTGGACAGGCCATTTCAGAGGATCTTTGGACACAAATCCTGTCATTAGTGCATAAGTCCTCTATTTGTGGCAGACATGACCTAATTCAATGCAAACTTGTGTATCGCACCTATTATACTAATGCACGACTGGCCAAGTTTTACACTAATTATGTTTATATGTTAAAGATACACTGTTAACTATATAACTATTGCACTGCCTTCACATTGTAGCTCATGTTACAGCATAAGTAACATTTGGGTAAAAAAAAGACTTACTCATGTTCATGACAAGTGTTATGTCATGTTTATGACTGTGTCATGACAGTCTTTTTCACAACCTGACAAAGTATTACAGTTTAATTTTCAAAAATCTTCTCCAAAGACAAGAATTTCTGTCTTGTCAGAATTTAAAAACAGAAAATTTGGGAAAATCAAGGTTTTAAAGTCTGCAATATGTCTATAAAATACCTAATTGATTGGATTCATTAAGAGTTTTGGACAAATAAAGTTGAGTATCATAAGCATAACAATAAAATTGTATCCCATGCTGTTTGACGATTTTACCAATTGGAAGCATGTTAACTGAAAACTTTGACCAAGCATTGAACCTTGTGTTATTCTACAAGAAGCCCTTTAATTAAATCTGTCAATTAAAGGGAAACCAACCATGTTGTGTTCTCTGGATCACTGCAAGCCTTTCAAAGAGAACAATACAATCAACTATATCAAGAAGCATCACTGAGAAGAAAAGAACAGATATGAATATCATCAGTGCTATCAGGCAGCAATGTAATGTCTGCCTTTTTATAAATTAATGTTCTTGTTTCAGAATGGGGTGGTTGAAAAAAAATTGCACTAAATCTCACAAACTGAGCACATTATTAAATTATCATTGAGCAAAGTCTCTGGTAAATTATTGTTCAATTTAGTTGGAATCATATTTGTCTTTTTTAGGTTTGCTTTCTTTAGGTTACTTTTTAATGGGTTTGTTTGTGGAAAGTGTACCACTGTAATGGGTTTGGTATAGTACAGTTCAGAAGTTGCAGAGAGGCGTGCTACAAAAATAACATCACTTAAAGGATTTTAGGCATATATACAAAGTGGAAGAGCTTATAAGATGTATACTTTTTTTAAAATCATTTTCAATAAACATACTTGTAGTTCATACAGGCAGTCATGCTATCATGCTTCTGCTTCATAGTTTTACATTTGGAGTTTTTAGAGATGTAACTATTACTATGTAATATATTATGCTATTTAATGTATTAATAATTATTATTATTAACTAGTTATTTTATAAAGCATCTGATTTACCAAATGTTAAACTTCTAATAATACAAGCATTATTACAAGTTTGATACTTAGGAATTTAAAAAGCACTTTTTCTAGCTAAAATAACTGGAACTTGACCATGTCTTAAAAGGATTTATCTCTCTCTTTCCCCAGTTTGGGAATGAAGCTCAGCAACTTGAATGGGCCAAGCGAGAGAGTGAGCGGGCAGAGCGAGATCGACTGAAGAGGCTCAGGCAACAGGAACAGGAAGACCTGGAGCTGGCCATTGCCCTTAGCAAGGCAGAGATGTCTAATGCATGACATCTAAATCTAACATGCATCTAACTCGGATGACATTATAATATGAACACATCTAAACACACACACAACCTTGCACCACCATACTTAACAAATAGCTGCAAAACTTGTTTGGTTGCATGACAAAAATTGATTTAATATGTGACAGGAGGAAGAGGAACTTTTGAAGGATGTATACAATGTGTATTAATTACCACTTTAGTTCTGGATATCAAGACTGATGCAGACAAAACAATTTACTAGGATTTGAGTCTATAGCAGCTCTTTTTCTGGTACTTTCACAATGTGAAAAACAGCATGTCGGTTAACCTGGCATTGAGCGACAAAGAAGCTAATACAGATGTAGATTTGTGTCATGGTGACAAACTGAAAGGGAGAATGTTTTCTCCTCTAACATTTCATAGGATTTGGCATTTTTGTGCATGATGCCACAAAAAAGTGATTTAACAAGGAAATGATCAGGTGTAAGAAAATTAGATGATTACTAATAATCAGTAAGACATAACCAAGAGGTGAGATATCAAGATTTTAAGACTCTAAAATCTTTATCAGATATAGAGAAATTAGGTAGATATTCATTTGTTCACTCTATTTTTGGAATGATTTCAAAATAGCTTGATATTCCTCTGTGTGCCACGCAAAATTAGCATAGAATCTCAAGCAAGACAGAATTGTTCAGAAATTCCAGAGACAAAATTGCTTTTGTCTCTCTAGAGCCAAAAGCAGTTGAAATCAGGTATTTCCATACAGCTGTGGAGGAATCCAAATCCAAATCCCTGTTGTCCCTCCCACAGGTTATAAGGCAAACTCATACCTTCTGAGCCACCATTCCCCAATCCCAAACATTTCCTGATCTAGGTCTAATGTATTTGTATTTGTATTGTATAAGATTTTATTCATCATTTCTTTTAAATTCAAAATTCAACAAATATTGTAATATTTGGTAGAATTGGTGTGTAAACTATATACAAGGTCAAAGTTAGTAGAATTTGTTCTGTTAGTATGATAAGAATGAGGCAGGAGGTGAGGTTAACATGTACTTTACTTCACATCACAACTTCCACATATACATTGGTTAATATGTTACATGTCAAGATAACTGTACACATCTGTTTTCTCTTCCCCTTTTGAGGAAGACAAAAAGTAAATAATCCATCATCAGTTGAGATTACAACTTTACATTTTTGGGCTGATGTTTCAGAAGTCACTTTCATAATTCTGCATAATATTCTTCCCTCATGTTAGTTTTTGGGATGTGCCCAAGTTCAGCCCATCTTTCACATCTTTGTGACTAGAAGATGCTAACCCAAACAGTCACAGTATTTTTTGACTGGCTTTTAGTTGAGTATTGAGAAATATAAAGATAACATAGAGCTGGCACTACTTTGGGATGCTGTTCTCAGGCTTACAAGATAATGCAACAATGGCAAAACACTTTGACACGGTTGGATCAGAGAACAGAACATGTATCGGATCCAATATCAGAGACATGATATCGGATCCAATATCAGAGACATGATATCGGATCCAATATCAGAGACATGATATCGGATCCAATATCAGAGACATGATATTGGATCAGATATGTCAAATAAGACATTTGTTCCAGAGCTCAAAAAAGCAAAAACAAACAAAAAAAAAACATTCTCACTTTTCCTCATCTCCTCATCAGGTGGACTTTAAGCCCATGAATGACGGTGGTACAGAACTTGTTTTGTTGTAAATATACCAGCATCTTCACAAGGGTTTTGCTTTTCTTCTGTGGTTGCAACACGTTCATCTTTGGGACACAGAACCTAGTATGATGGTCGGGATATTTTCGTGCTGTATGTTTGCATTCATGCATTTCGTGCATTCATGTTTGCTGACAGAAAATTTTCACTTTCAGGCACATAGAAATAAGTGATGGATAAACCAGACATAGTGAGGTCCAAAATTTTCATATTGTAGTATATGTTGAAGAATTTTTTAGTTTTTATCATAATGCTACATTAGTATAACATGAGTTTGAAGTGATACCAATATCCAGAAGGTGATATGCAGAATAACAGCATAGTGTGAACAGTTTTTTTAGTCTGAACTCCTGACTCTGAAAAAGTAGTAAGAAAAACTTTTTTTGAGAAATTCTTTCTTTACTCTGGTGTTTAGCAAATAAAAATAATTTTGGTTAAAAAAAAAAGCTGTTTAGTCTGATTTAACAGAAATTAAAAGGGGGAAATTGTGTTGCATCTTCTTGAATGTAAAATCTGATTTCAACTGTATATGGATTCCAGCTTGGCTGCCCCTGAGAACCCTCCCAGAACAAGTTGGAACATCAAACCTGCAAACATTTGTCAGCTGGATCATGCCCTTCATCCACAGAGTGTATGAACCCCAATCACCACCCTGAGGATTGCTCTCATCCTTGCAAAGGACTCACAGGACATCTGGGTTTCTCTACTGAACATTATGTGTGTGACCACACAAAAAAACGTTCCACAAGGGACTTTCCTCAAGCCTGAAAATTTCCCTTTCACACTCCTAAGAATTGCATTCCAGAGTAGTTGGTATGATCTTTGGCACTATTTGTTCTTTTTTTTTTTTCTCTGAGTAAGCAAAGTGTGCATACCCTTTCATCAGAGTTGAAAGGGTAGCGAATCTGATGAATCTCAAGCAAGACAGAATTGTTCAGAAATTCCAAAGTACCAGAGCTCTGATATTTGTACCAGGAACTTATATTAGTTTGTTTACATGCTGTATAACTTAATGCATTGAAATTACTACAACAAATACTCCAGGGACTGAACATTCCATCTCAGGTGTTTTCAGATTGTTAGATATCAGATAGTCACAAAAGCACTATTTTGGTGTTTTGGTGTAATATCAGAAAAACATGCAACAATATGGTGAATGTTGCAATAATGATGTGATTTGCAATGAAAATACAAATAAGTAAACAGTATTACCATTTTTGGTTCATAGCAGTACTGTAAAATAGTGTGGTCAAAGGTATTCAAGGGAAACAAACAAACAGCATCAACCACAGTTCATAGAAGGAAACTCAAAAAGTTACTTCAAAGAAAAATCAAAGCAATCCTTCAAAGGAAACCCTCTAATTCAGGGGCGTCAACATCCAGTCCTGGAGGGTCGGTGTCCTGCAACTTTTAGATGTGCCTCTGCTGCACCACCTGAATAGAATAATTAGGTGATTAGAAAGACTCTGGAGAACAAGGAGGAGGTAATGAAGCCATTTCATTCCTGTGTTTTGTACCTGTGGCACATCTAAAAACTGCAGGACAGCGGCCCTCGAGGACTGGAGTTTTACACCCCTACTCTAATTGGTAGAACCCAGCAACGTAATTAATGACATCATCCAGACATTTAAGCAGGAAACACTGGGCCGACCCCTCCCATACTCCTGCCCTGCTGCAGAACTACAAGGGACAAACAATGGTGAATAAAAAAGATACCAAATACTATGAATATACTTTGAAACAAAAATAAACAAATTAATCAATAACCCAGAAGTAATAATTTTAACCTAAACATACAGTATAAATAGATGGAAATTACAACATAATGCTAACACAAACAAACCTGGGATAGTAAGTGAAGCAAAGTTGCAAAGTAATGGGGAAGGGAAATCTGCCACAACATTCTTCTTTCCAGCTTTATACTGAATCTTGAAACGATAAGGTTGCAATGATGGGTAACATCTGGTGATTCTTGCATTGGTCTCTCTCATTCTATTCATCCAGTGTAAAGCTCGGTGGTCTGTCTCAAGCACAAATTCACCACCCAGCAGATAATACTTTAAAGTGTCAAGAACCAATTTTATTGCCAAAAGCTTCTTTTTCTATTGTAGAGTACCTCATTTCTCTGGGAAAGAGCTTTCGACTTATGTATTGCACTGGTCTTTGGTCTCCCCCATCACCTTGCAGCAACACAGCTCCTAGCACCACTCCTGAAGCATCGGTCCGCACAATAAGTAGGCGTGCAAAATCTGGACACTGCAACACAAGTTCATTACATAAACAGTTCTTCAGATCTGCAAATGGAGCCTCACATTCTGGAGTCCATACAATCTTGTTGGGACAAGATGTATGTGTCAAGTCACTAAGAATGGCTGGTCTCTGAAAAGTTGGGGATGAACCGATGGTATCAGCCAACCAAACCTAGAAAAGATCTTAACTTTTTCTTAGTTGTAGGAGGAGGACAAGCAGCAAGACTATCAACATTACTCACCTGAGGGCGGATAACCCCACCCCCGATGTCGTAACTCAAGTATTCAACCTCAGTCTTGGCAATGTGACACTTTCCAGGGTTGATGACAAAACCCGCTGTTTTGATTCTTTGTAGGACTTCTGTCAGATGCTTCACATGGTCTTTCCATGTCTGACTGAACACCACAATGTCATCGATGTAAGCTGCTGCATAGCCATCAGCTCCTTTTAAAACTAAGTCCATCATCCTTTGAAATGTAGCAGGAGCTCCATTAAGTCCAAAAGGCATAGTTCTGAAACAATAAAGTCCACTAGGAACCCTGAAAGTAGTTAAATCCCTTGAGAACTCAGTTAGTGGAACTTGCCAATAACATTTACAGAGGTCAAGTGTTGTAAGGTACTTGGCATTCCCCAAATGCTCAATAAGTTCATCAACTCTTGGCATTGGATAAGCATCAAATACAGAAACAGCATTAAGTTCTGAGAAATCAACACAAAATCTCTGTCTTGAGTCATTTTTCTTGGGAACAAGCGCCACAGGGCTGCACCACTCACCTCTGGAAGGCTCTATGATCTCCATAGCCAGCATTTCTTCCACCTGCTGTTTCAGTGCAGGCACCAGTTTTGCTGGAACTCTGGAGGTCGTATCCCTGATAGGTGGATGATCATGACTGCAAAGTCGTATGTCATGCTTAATGAGATGGATGTAGCCTGGTTTTGTGCTGAAAAGCTCCTTTGGCAACATAGCCAGCAGTTCCTCTTGCTGCTCTGGAGGTAGATGGCTTACATCTGGCAAAAGCTGCTCCCCAAAGTAAGATGGTGGAAATTTCTCTTGAAGCTCCTCTTCATCGATTACAGCTTGAGCCCACAAGTGCATTGATGGAACTGGATGGTCAATCCACTCCTTCAACATGTTGATTTGAAAAACTTGCTGTTTTTACGGCGATCTGGCAAGTTGAGCTCATAAGTAACAGGACCTACTTTTCTGTTTACGACAAAAGGCCCCTGCCACTTGGCTAAGAGGCAGCTTTCAGTAGTTGGCAAAAGTAGTAACACTTTTTGTCCTTCCTTAAAGATCCTCCTAAGAGTTGTTTTATCATAGTTCTGCTTTTGACTGTGAGCCAGTTCCTGGAACTGTTCAAGCTTGTCTTTCATTTTCAACACAAATGAGAGTGATGTACAGTTTTTCAGGCCCAGCCCCCTCCCAAGCCTCTTTGAGGACATCTAGTGGACCCCTGACAGTATGACCGTATAAGAATTGAAAGGGAGAAAACCCAGTAGTTGCTTGAGGTACCTCTCTATAAGCAAAAAGCAGAAATGGTAACCACTGATCCCAGGCTTTCCCCGAGTCTTTTCACAAATTTATTCAACATGGACTTCAGAGTTTATTAAAACTTTCATTGAGTCCATTAGTTTGAGGATGGTAGGAACTTGTTTTAATTCCATTAATTCCCAAAAGTTTATAAACTTCCTTCAATAGGTTGGAAGTGAAGTTTGAACTTTGATTTGTAAGAATTTCTCTGGGAATACCCACCTTAGAAAACATCTGTATTAGACAGATGTCTTAGCTATTTGGCGGGCTTTAATTATTCTTAATGGGAAAGCTTCCGGGTACCTAGTCGCATAATCACACACAACTAGAATGTATCTATGGCCTGAGCTACTTCTCTCCAATGGCCCAACAATGTCCATAGCAATACGAGAGAAGGGGGTGTCTATTACCAGCATAGGAATAAGTGATGCTCTGTCACTTTTCTTACTTGGAGCTATCAACTGACACTGTGGACATGATTCGAAGTATTTAACAGTATCTGAAAACTATTGAGGCCAGAAAAAAAAACGATCCGACATTCTGGAGAATGTCAAATCGTTTGACATAGGGTGGGTCATTTAGAAGGAACAGCAACCTCAGAAGAAGGTTTTATTATTTACTTTACACAACAATATATCTGTGTATTATTTAGCCATATATTTTTATCCCATGATGATGCATGATTTGAATTTTTTGCTTTTATTAGTTATTAATTGAAATTCAATAAAACCAGGCTTACAGTGGGTATGGAAAGTATTCAGAACCCTTTAATTTTTTCACTCTTTCATTGTAGTCATTTTTCATATTATTTCTTAGAAAAGTGCAAGTAATTCATGAGATTTTTTTTTCTATTTTGACAGAACCCCCCAGCCACAAATGTAGATTTATTTTTTGTATTAGAAAAGAATACACAGTCATATCACACAGTCATTTGCTGAGCAAAGGTCAGTAAATACTGACCCTTTGAGCTGGTGCAGCCATGAGTTCTTGGGAATGATGCCACAAACTTTTCACACCTGGATTTGGGGATCCTCTGCCATTCTTCCTTGCAGTTCCTCTCCAGCTCCCTCTGGTTGGATGGTGAACGTTGGTGGGGTCATTTTAGGTCTCTCCAGAGATGAGTAATTGGATTTAGGTCAGGGCTCTAGCTGGGCAAGTCAAAATGGTCTCAGAGTTGTAAGGAACCAATCCTTTGTAAGGAACCAATCCTTTGTTATTTTTAGCTGTAGCTTTGGGTCACTGTCATGTTGGAAGGGGAACTTTTGGCCAAGTCCTCTAGATGGTTGAGAACCTCAGCCATCTGGAAGAGCTTTTCTTTCAGGATATCTCTGTACTTGGTCATATTCATCTTCCTGTCTCTGCAGCTGAAAAGCATCCCGTAGCATGATGCTGCCAACACCAAGTTTCACTATTGGGATTGTATTGGACAGGTGATGAGCTGCATGCCCGCTTTAACACGTGCTGCTGCGTGCTCGTTTCACCGAGTCAATCAGCCTTGAGGCTCTGAGTTGAAATTGATAAAGTGTCAAAATGATCTGATTGCTCTCTGCGGTTCTCAACTACTTTGAATTTGTGTTGTTTCATCATTAGGGACCAGTAGCCTGATGTTCCTGTTGTTCTCTTGGTTTGTTGTACTTCATGTCAGATGGATTTCAGAATGACATAGTATTGTAGAATTGTGAGGCGAATAAACTCTCAAATATATAGATAATTATAACAAACCACAGAGACGAGTTCTTACTGCCAGCCACGACGGGTCGGGAGATTTATTTACATCTTCTACCACGGATGCATCATTACAAACATTATTTCTCAAATCTCAAAGTCTCAAAATCAAAGTCCCCAAAATCTCTCCGTTCTTTGTCTACAGACATTCTTATAGCTTCCAATGACGTCGGTTTTGCGTCAAGATTCTGGCTGCCCATTGACTGAGTGTGTGTTGGAGTTTCCACGAATTTCTGACTGACTTCTTCTCTGAACATCTGCTCCATCTCAGAACTGCAAAACAAGTCAATTAATAATAATAGTTGTTCTTATCTATCTAAACAGCGTACTTTCCAACCCGAGTTTTGGTCCAACATTTTGTACTTTCCAGATAAAATCGGGTCAGATCGACCTTTCTGGCGCCAGAAATCTTTTCCCTTAAAAACAATGCTTTAACGTATTTCTGCTCCGACAATAGTCGCTCTCTGTGGTGGTGAAACTTGTAAGCTCCGCTGTTGTGGGCAGGTATGTTGTAAAGTTAAATTATCATGAGCTTTATGATTTGGGTATAAAGGGCCCGGTCATGAGCCTTGCCCCCTGGCCCGATGCTGCCTTGTTCCGCTAGTGCTCTACTGCATCTCTGGAGCTCAGCCACAGTGATCTTTGCCTCTCTCACTAAGACTCATTTGTTGGACGGCCAGATTTAGGAAGAGTTCTGCTCATCCCAAGTTTCTTCCATTTAAGGATAATGAAGGCAACTGTGCTCTTAAGAATCTTAGGAACAAGGCATAGAATTGCGGCTTGCACAGAGCTCACTGGACAGTTCTTCCACCTCAGGATTCTCATTTGCTTTTGTAACCTTCTTAATTATAATGGCTTATTATCAGCTCTGCGTTGTGTGAATACGGGACCAGGAGACAGGATGAGACAAAATGGGATTTATCTGTATGAAACAGAATATAAAATAATCAGGGACCAGGTTCATCACAGGCAGTACAGCACCTCGCGCCCATCTCTCATGAACTGGCAACGAGATGTCTGTGTTCACTATATTTAACGTTGCCAACCACCAGGAGGGGGTGCTGTTTCACCCATTACACCTGAAGTAATGACTAGTAAAATTCTATACAACATTAACTATGTTACACTGACCTATGAGGTCTTACCTGTGTCTTTCCTAATCAAGTCCAATCTGTTTAATTAAAAACAGTTGGACTCCTAAGAAGGAGCAGAATCTCGAGGAGGATCAGGATCGAAGAGTGTGTGAATACTTATGGCCACGAGATATATCAGATTTTCTTTTTTGATAAATTTGAAAATTTTTGTACATTTCTTGGGTTTATCTGTCAAAATGGGATTAGTGTCAATTTATAAGAAATATCTTTATGATTTTAGCAAATCACTACAAAGAAACAGAACATTTTAAAGGGCTCTGAATACTTTCCATAGCCATAGCACTTTTCAACCCTCAAAGAAGTTTTACAATGAAATCAGTCAATCCCATTCACACAAACATTCTCACGCTGATGACAGAAAGCTACACAGTCTTGACAGAAGTCAGGGTGCCATATTGTGCTATCGGCCCTTCTGATCAGCACTAGCAGGCAAGGCTTTCAGTAGAACCAACTGGACATGTTTTCTGAAACTGTGCACGGTACGTTTTCTATTATCAACATATGAACCTTATGATAGAAATGTGGTCACTAATTAGTGACCAGAGTTAGTGGGGTCCACAATTCTCATCTTCATCTTCCTTCATACATCATAATGTGTCTTATGAATCAGAAAACACATTGCCAAGCAATTTTACCATCAACACTTGTTAAAGAGTGTTGAGCTCAATCAGCTCAATATTGGCTGATTGAGCAATTGCTCCATAAGACTGACTGCTGTAAATGTGTGAAGTGTTGAGAGATTTAAGAGATATGACATTGGGAGTGAAACTAAACTTAAAACCTTCGCATATTTTGTCAGAAGCCATTTAAAACATGTCTTAATATTTGTGAAAAAAGGATCACATTGTATCACATTGTAACCTTCATTAACCATCATTGAGTCTTCACTGAGACGTTCTGCTACGTAAAAACATAAATTGGCTTTTGCAGATTTTTAAGTCTAGAAAATTGAAGTAAATGAACTAATAGAATGACATTGGGTGGTTTTCCACATTTTTGTCCTCGAAGTCATCACAAAGTTTGTGTTGTAACCAGATTCTGATATGGAAAAAAAAAAGTTAGCTATACATTTACATATTGGTAAATTTCAGTTTTTGTTGGATTTTGTTTTAAAATATGCTACTTGCCAGCTGAGCTCACATATTGACCAGCAGTGAACTAAACTGTATTTTGTACTTTAATGCTGAGTGTTTGCTTTTATTTGTCCTTGCTGACTGTGCTGTCTGAGTCCGATGTTTACAGGACGAATGTCATTTTATCCAATACTAAGTGGTGTGTTTGAACTTTCAGAAGGATCGCATCACATTGTAACCTTCATTAACCATCATTGAGTCTTCACTGAGACGTTCTGCTACGTAAAAACATAAATTGGCTTTTGCAGATTGTGTATCATTGAGCTCAAGTTTTTCTCATGGTCATGATCTGGTATGACAAAAAGATAAAATAAAAGGAAAAATGTATTTATTCATACCATTTATTGAAACTGTGAATTGCACCTCCAAATTGTTGGAGTTTCAAAATAAAAACTGAAATTATTGTTACATGTTTTATTGTTGGTCATAGCTACTAATTATACTAATTACTAATAAACAGAAACATAAAGAGACTTTTTAGTAACTATGACTCATTTAAGCAGATAACATCTTTTGCTGTATGGCATATATAGAAATTGTTGAAGAAATGAAATGTTACTGAACATTTTAAAGGTCCATAAGATGCTTTGCTAAGTTTGCAGTGCTACCTGTTTATTTTTTAGTTACTTTAGCACAGCTTCCATCATGAACTTTTCTGCAGTTTTTTCTGTTTATGCAAAATGCCACCAAACAACATGCTTTTTACCTTCGTGCCAGGGAATGCCATAAGGGTTCTTGGACATACTTGCCGTATTACTGGGAGTTTTACATTTTTGACTCCAGCTCACTGTTACAAATGGGAGCCATTATTCTTAAAGTGACAGCTACGAGGGGGTGGGCTGTGTCTGTCTGCAGCGTTATTGTGTGAAAGTGTGTTTCCTTGGGTAGCTTCCTAAGACAAAAACAGCTTAATTTATAGTATGATGTGAATAAGTATTTTATCATTTTTAAATATATAAAATGATTTAATAATCATTGAATATTGATGATTTTGACAACCCTGTGTTTATCTATACACATACCTTTGACTTCTATTGTTCTTCGACCCATTTTCTAAAAATTATTTGTGACCTTAGACCTGTTTTCTTGTAAAAATCCATTATTATCTTTTTGTTTTTCTTACGTCATGTATTAGTTTGTTGAAATTAATTTGGCTGTTTGGTAAAATACATCAATGTATGTGTTTTCTGAGAATATGTTTTCTTGATAGAAAAACAAAACTGTAAACAGCTCTTCCTTGTAACTCCTACATATAAAAACAGAAAAATACACTCAGATTGATCATTTGACTTGATATATTGTCTCCACTGCAACACCACTGGATACAAACTAATTTGTATCCTCTGAAGTAGACTTGATCATTTTTGATCTCTTCTTTCAAAAATGTACTTTACAATGGGGATAAAAAGTTGAGCTGTCTTTTTCAAGATGCATTCTGTGCTTGTATCGAGGTTTAGTGGTCCCCTGTCTGGCATTGCTGTGTTGTAAATAATTAACAGCATCTCTTTTTCTGAAGTTCTGAATCCATAACTTTGAAGATTGGCTGAAGGTAAATGGTTAGGAAAGTCAAAGTCAGGTTTACTTTGAAGACTTATAATTATTTTTCCTCTGTACAAAATATAATAAATATTTAAGTTAAAGGAAATTAGAATTTAGTTTAATTTGTGCTGTATTTTGAATTTGAATTTTAACAGGTGCAAAGTATTGAAGATTTTTTTAATTCTAAAATGTAAAAATTTCATCCGAAATTATCTATTGTTTCATACAAATAAATACAAAACAATTACAAATTTAAGAGAAATTTGTTTCACTATCTCTCTTCCACAAACAATTTAACCTAAATATTCTCTAAGAAGATGCAGACAACACATCAACAGCAATGGCCTCCCTGCAGAAGCGAGAAACATTTCAAATAATGGATCAGATCTGTAGCAGGCAGACGATAGAATGATCGTAACTAATTTGAACAACCAAATCCATCTCAGATTCTTCAAATGATATGTTGAAATATGTAATTGCTGCGGCAGCTTTTGGAACGTTTTCAAGACTTAAGCCCAGTTCACACTACACAATAAACTTTGCTTGATTTTAACTCATTGACTCTTCGGGAAGGGAGACCTGGCGGTCTGATCCTAGGTCGCAGAAAGCTGGCTCTTGGGATATGGAATGTTACCTC